TTTACTGCACATCTTGTATTTTTACTATATAGTAGAGCTTGGATATGTGATGTTGTACACAACCAGTTTCCACGCAATGCAGGCTTGCAAGCTATCATGTGTATGTTCCTACATATTTGCACTATGGCAAGGACATCTCACGTCCTTGAGGGGGACGAAATATTATGCACAGGACTAGTGTGGGTGATGGCCTGCCTCGTTCCCATGATGTGGGGGATACCTTGCCCAAGATGTAGCAATAGTTTCCCCAACTTAAATATTACAATATATTATAATATATAGGATAGGATGGGGTGGTCCCGCCTAGGACCCCTAAAGTTCTTAGGTGCCTGGCGAGGCAGGTCCGCTGCATGAAAAGAGCAGGCGCCCCATTCACCCAAGTTTGTATCACATGGCATGAATTGGATATGATTTGATTTGAGCTAACCTCATTTGGTATGGTAAGGGAAGTCACTGAGTTGGAATGGGACTAATGGTGATGGGACTTTGATGTCATAAGTTATGGCTCATAACATGTTATTTTAAACCTTTGGTCGTTCCATGATATGGAGGCATAATATGAAGTCTTGCATATATTTGGGAGTATTTAGAAGCTCTAAATCATTTCTGCAAGCAGGGATAGAGAGTTCAAACGATTGAGGCTGCTTTGTGTAAGTTCTTTCGTGGGGAAAGACTTGTCCCCAAATAGCCGCCGGCCTTCTGGGCCGAGGGGGATTGCATCAGCTGGAAGGCCTGTCTATTTTTAAACCAACGCCTTTGTGGTGTTCAAGGACGCCCTCAAAAGGGTGCATCCTAGGATTTCACTCGTTGTGTATGCTCCCGGTGTGGTGGTGATTTGAATCCACATTTTGTTTGTTCTTCTATTGCAGTGCACATCTGAAGAATCTTTTGGTCGTCATGAGGGGTGGGTTCCAATAGTGTCAATAGAGAAATAACCATTTTCATGGCCATATTCATGCATATTTGTAGTTCATTAATGCAATGCATCTAATATGGGTGTCACCCATATTAGAAGATGATATTCTAATCAGTAGTCAAACTTCTGCCCTTTCCAATGCTGCCAACACAACGCTCGCCTTGCCTATGACGTGGCTGCCTGAGGTTAGGTATTATTGGCCTTCTCTGTATTGGAAATTAGTAATCAATATAAAACAACCTTTGGTGGGCTTATTTAGGAGCTCCTGATTCCCCTAGTTTTTAAAATACCCAAATCCGTTAAGAATTGATGAAGATATGACCTTGTGTTGTTATAATACTTATGGCTTTAAATAGATGGGGGCTAGTATTTAAGTCAAAGGAGAAACGGTTCGGTCGTGTGTAAATGGGGGATGGTGGCATGGTGCCTGGATGTGCATCTGAGTTGTCTTGTCTTGATGTGACTACGACGGACCCATGATTGGGCACCGCACATGTGATAAATGCGCATGTATTGAATCTATTTAAATTTCTTTGGCCCACTCTCTAGCCTTTCACAACACAGCGAACCACTGCCTCACTGTGCCACCACCTCTTGCTGACAGCAGGCCCTGGGGATCGATCCCCATCAAGAATTGGGCCTACCGTGTGACCGCCAAATTGACTGCCCGGGATATGGCCACCGCCCAAGGCGGAGAGGCCGACCAACCTCCTATGGCCACGCTATAGAACAGGGCGACCCCAACGCCTCCGGAAACTAACGGCCTCTCATGGGGCCATGACATTGCCTTCGACAAGGGCAACAACGCCATCACAAAAAGTCCGCTTCTCCATAATTTAATATGTCTATCTGCCCCTCCATAGACTCCCCAAGTTGGTATGTATTGTCTTTAAGTTCACAAGACCCAGTTTTATGCATTTTATGGCTGTTTATGCGTAATAGCCCAAAAACCATTTTTGCATGTAAACAGCCATGAAGGAGGACACCTTGTCGACTTTGGTATGCTTAGCATCAAGCTGATGCTAAGTTCAGACCCCCAACCCTGCCCTGCATTTCTCTTCACCACACCATGAATTCTGACATGGAGGTGGCCGAGGCAGGAAGGCCTCTGGTAGGACAAGCTCAAGATGGTGTTGCTATAGTGAGGACTTCGGTCTCTGGGGTTGAATTGGCCTCTGCTGGTCGCTATGCGGCCGCCATCAAAGCCGATATGCCCTGCCGCCTACGTGGCCTCTATGGCTCTATGAAGAAACCTTGGTGGACATTTGCCATGCTGCTGGCCTGCGCTGAAACTTCCAAGACACGAAGCCCAAGCTTATTGCATGTTTGATGGCACATTACAAGGCTGAAGCAGTGGCAGCGCCCAGGGCTGCCCCTCAGGTGATGCGTGAGCCCCTGGAGCTCGTGGGGACTGCGTGCCTGTCCTCGGGCCTAGCGCAGGGCTTCCTCACCCGCCCCGCTTCCCACCTCAGCCGCCGATCGCCCTTGGCCAGCGCTGCTGCGCTTTCCCAGCCCCTTGTTACCTTGGACTCTCAGATACTGCGGCCCTGCCCTCCTGGGCCACCTCTCCCTCTTCCCCGCTAGGCAAACGCTCACGCGCTGAGGCCGAGCCCTTGTATTCACGCTCCCCTGCCTCGTCGACCGAGCTGGCCCTCCTGCCGAAGGATTCTGCCCACCCCGGGCTCTTGCAACCTCTCCCCGTGCATCACCTGACCTGGACATGGCCCTGTCATGCTCCCACGCAGCCGCTCCAGTGCGGCCTGCCCAGTTGTGTGAGCTTCTTGACAACTAAGCAGAGCTCTGCCGTCGCAACGTCTACGTGTGTGGCGTTGCCAACTCGCCGGCGGAGTCGGTGGTGGAGCTGGACGCGACTGTTGAGAAGCTGATTGGCGAGCTGGTCGGACATGCACTTGTGGTGATGGATGTGGAGCGTGTGGGGCTTTTTTTACTGGATCGTCCACATCCAGCGATTGTGCACTTCAGTGCGCTGTAGGACAAGGTCAATCTGTTGCGGGCCAAGCGTGTGCTGTACGGGACTTCTGTCCCCAGTACTTTCCGAGGGGTGCACATGCACGACGATTTATCCGGGGCGCAATTGGACTGGGAACGGCGCCTTCGTGGCATCTTCGAGAGTCTTTTGTCTGTGACTGTCAAGGCCGTTAGGAGACTGGATTGTTTTTACCCGACCTCGCTGCTTGCCTAGGGCCTCTGGATGTGGGCATTTGGCCCCACATACTTTGCAGGTCATTTTTCCAAGGTGGCTGGCTCTGGGTAGCAATACTATTTCCCGGTCGTTGGCCATTGATGGGTTGTCTTTCTGGTTGTTTCTGGGGTCAGTGTATGTGCTGCTCCTTTGCACTTTTCTTAATGTTTCTCGTTTTCTGGTGTTTTCTTTTTGATTTCGTTCGCTGTCATATCTCCTGGTTACTTTTCTCTGGTTCTGCTTAGCTTCAACACCGTGGGTGACTACTGGCCATGACATGTGGACAAACAATGTCTCCTGTTTTGTGCCATATGTTGTTCTGGGGCTCAAATAGCGTCCGCAATATTAGTAGAAAAGGAGGGGTTTCGCCTCGTTAATTTGTCATGCCATTACCCCCCCCCACCCCCCCACCCCACCCCCCACCCCCCACCCCCCAGCGTCAATCCTTATTTCGAAGACAGGATGTCTCAGCAACATTACCTAATAGTGTTATTCAATTTCCAGGTTTTCAAGGAATAAAGAAATCAAAGCTGTGCTGACTTTAGGGGTTTAAAAAATGGATTCTAAATGCCATTATAGGTGAGGCGAGCAGCCTCAATGGCTGCAAACTGATCCATTCTAAAGTCTCCTTTGTAGATCAAACACTTGCAGGAGCCTTAGGAATATGTCGCGGGTTGTTTGCCACTTATCAGAGGCGCTTTTGGGCACCTTCTCTCCTTATGTCGAATTTGTGGCAATTACATAATCTGTTAGCGTAATAGATCTGGAACCTCCCCCCCCTAAAGCGTCAATTTGATGCTTAAGCGATCCACAGTCGGCATCGTGTCTTCCCTAAGCAGGAAAGTGTTTATGCCATCAGGACTAAGCCTGCATAAAGGAACACAAGTGCAGGAGCACAATATATGGTCGGTCGCATTCGCCCTGAAAGCTGCTCATGTCTGTTCACTCAGTTAACAGGAGCTCAACGATACATGATCTGGACATAATCATGCTTTTAATTTGTGGGTCTGCGTGAACAAACTTGGGAGATGAAACAAAAAATATATGCTTGAGACCATTGCCCGACATCGCTTTTTTGGTGCAAGGGCTTTTGATGTGTCCTGTGACGAATGCAGTTGAAGTGAAGACGTAGATGAGAAATTTTTATTTGAAACTTCTTATTTCCCCGTCTCTATTTTCATTGCAAAGCAGCTGTCCCTGCGGTTACACCCAGTTACGCATTGATTCTCTTCAGGAAAACTCACAAAATGGCCAAAATTCCGGTTGGCGTCCCACGACCTACGAATTTTGCGGCGAATTTGCAAACATCGTCTAAGACACAATCGACCAAGACAGGGTGGATTCCTAGCAGAATTTTGCCTCCAAAACCCAACTTCGACCCAGATTTGGTGATTGCCGCCTTGGATATTCGCTCTACCTTCGCAGGCCCCATAATTTTCATGGAAAACAGGAGCCCGCGGATGCCTCTCACGTCTAGAAACCCTCGGCAAAACTCTTCGTCGCATCGACTGAATCCCCAATGGTAAGGGGTCGCGACCCACTCGATTCATTCCCACCCCATGGACACCGCACAAGGCGCCGCCCACTCTTCTTATACCGACTACCACACAACATATGGATCACTACATGAGGGCCTATATTGAATACAATAGAACACTGGCAGCTCCTTCACCTGGTGACAAACAAAGACAACCAAACAAGAATCGAAGAGAACGGTTGAAGACGCCCTGGTAGCCCAGCATCGCCTCCAAGGTGCTGTATTGCCAAGTCTATTTGACTAATGCAATCAATCGATTTGAGGTGGAAGACAACCAGGTAGAATAAAACCAAACAGGCTCCGCTTGGGCCCTTGGGGCTCCAAGGCTCCCCTAGTGCCCGTCCTTAAACCGTCTCCCTCCCGCTCAGCTCCAGGAACAGCGCCAGCCTCTCCGCCAGCTTGCGGCACACCCGGCAGTGCGGCGCCGCCATGACCGCCCTCACCTCTCCCAGCGCGCCGTCCTCCACGCCCACCCGCCTCCGCCGCGTCTCCCCGCCACCCTCCGGCCGGACGTCAGGCGGCTGGTCTGCCAGGAGGCCCGCGGCCCACTGCGCGGGGCTGCCGTGCACGGGGCAGCGCCCCAGGCGTTTGAAGGCGTTGGCGATCCTCAGCTGGCGGCCGCTCTCCGAGTAGGCCTCCGCGGCATACATCCAGTCGACGGACTGGGGTGAGGCAGCACAGTCCTTACGTTGTGTTGCCGCACTGGCTCGGCAAATGCCGCTGTACGGTGAAAAAGTGCGGCCACTGCACATAAGCGAAAAATCGACCAAAATACACGGTTTCGAGCGGTGTAAAAATGTGTAAAACCGTGCTAAATCGCTTAAAAACCATGTACACTCACTCAATCATTGTTGCACGATTTGGCACCATTTATATTCGATAGTTACAGGCTGTAACGTGATGTATACACGATTTTCAATGTTTTTGCGCGTAGACCATTCTCAATGGTGTTACACAGCACACGATTTTCGAAACCGTATATTTTGGCATGCTTTTTACCAGTGGCAGCTGATGAGCGATGAAGGTGGCAATGGCCATGCGCAGCGCTTTCTCTCAAGCGCTTGCCCGGGATCCCATGTATGCCTGAAATACACAATAAAACTAATCACTGCGAAATTTAAATGTATGTGAAGTGTCCACAAAAATTGGCTGTTCCCCGCAAGCGGATTAGTTTTATTGAAACTCAGTTTTTATTATTGTATTTTGGCGATTGCGAACACCTCATTCCGAAGATTTGTGAGTGAAGTCATGTCCGGCGTGGAACGTTCCGTCTGTGAATACCGTTGCAGTTGAGTACAGCACATTACTGGGCCTTGCATCGCATTTTACTTGCTGACTGTTGTGGTACTGCGGCAGCGAGGGCTGCAGTTTCACGTCCAATGCCCACCAGCGAATTTGCGAACACGCACGAGCGGTCTGTGAGAACATATTTCAGCCTGCGCCCGTCACCTCCATTGAAATATTGGGCCCTAAATTGCTCGTTTGGAAAGCCCCCGCGCAGCTCTACACAAACATGCACTAAACACAAAACACACAATACAATGCAAAACACACAATACACTGCAGTATGGTACAGCCATACGGGAGCAACTGACAAGTCCACGGATCAAGCGGTGTGCGCGCCGTTCACTTCGCACGTTTGTTGCCACAGCGCCATCGGTGAGCAGCGCGTTCTGCTGCTTCCGATCCATCGAAGGCACCAATCCATTCGTCCTCCCCCCCCCCCCCCCCGCCCCCGCGCCCCCCCTACCTGGGGCGGGTCCTCCCCAGCCTCCTCCTCGTCCTCCTTGGCGCCGCACTGCTCCTTCGCGCCCGCGGCCTCCTCCCCGTCCTCGAAATGCTCTCCGGGCGCGGAGGCGCGCCTTCTGGGGGAATCTAAGCGGGTGATGAAATCTGTCGAGTCCGACTGGCCATAGGCGCCCTCCGCGTACAGCCAGTCCACTTCGCCAGACATGCTCCAAATGCCTCCAAACTCCAAGCTCTCTTCAAACTCCTAATTTTGTATGTGTTCTGCGCGGCCGAGCAGTTGACTGGTCCGCGGTGGGGCGCGGGAGAGAGGGCGTGTGGAGGGGCTGAGGCGCGGGGCGCTTGGAGGCGTCAGGGGAGGTGCAGGTCCCCACTCTGTGTGTTTCGAAGGGGTGTTTGGACAAGCGGGTTTGGGCGCCAGTGGTAGGGGAAAGGGGCAGTGGTCGTCGCTGGCGGGCAGCGATGTTCATGCAATCGCGATTGATGAGAATGGAGTGGTGCCGTTGGCACCAATGATGGCTGGTGTCATTAACACCAATCGTAATCGGTGCCATTACAGATGACAAGTGCAATGGTCAGTTATGCTAATTGACCGTTGAAATCGATTGCAATAGTCAATTCGTATGCTGGAGCACTGAAACTACAATTGCAAGTAGAAATTGTTGTCGAACGTGAATTATGCATGCGGAGGGAGGCAGGGAGGTCGGCATGAGTAATCCTTACGGGGCATACCGTCGCGGAATGGCATGGGGTCCACTGTTTGCTGTATTTTATTCGTTCAGTTGTCAATTTTTTACCTAAGGAAACCAAAAAGATTCAACGATCCGAACTTCGGAGGAAGTAGGAAGCCATTGATACTCTTCCGGTGTAAGATATGAAGCCCTGGAAAAGGAAGACCCAGATGCTTATTAGATTTAGGTCAGGTATGTTGCAGACATGAACGTAAGCACATAAAATATTACTCGAGCACCACAAAGTAGTGCACATTTCAACAGTATTTTTGTGTTGATGAAGGGGACATGGCCCTAAAGGCACCTCTCACGGAGGATAGAGCAAGTCCCAAGAACTCCCCTTCCCCCCTCCCACTCCGCCCCCAAGAATGCGGGGGGCACGATTATGCGACCACCAAACTGACTTAACACCTCAAATACCAGTCTAGAATAGGGTGCCAAACACAGTGAAGTTGGGAGGACGTCACCATGATATTTTTCCAAGTTAACTTCACAGTGTCGCTGCATCTTTTGATAGTGTACGACGATACCCCCCGCGCTATCGAACATACCCCGCGTTCTGAAGCAGTGGCCGTGCTCGATAACGCGGGGGGCCGTCATCTAATGACACATTGCTTGGGATTCGATAACTGCTCTACCCCACGACGCCATACCGCAGCACCATCTAATAGCACTACAATGCAACGCTCAATCACAACGTCCATTTGAGCACTAGTGGACCTGACCATTGGGCAGCCACCCACCCGCCATCTCGATCAGGTCGCCAGTGCAACCATCAGCCAGCACATGAATTGCTGCTTGCCTGTCATGGTAGACGCAGCTGTCATGGCATCAAAGTAACATACCTTCCATCTGACGCACAATTCTACTCGCATTTTTTCATTGACTTTCACAGCACATCGGCCTTCAGCCACCAAAACCACATTATGCAAATTAGAAAATTACAAATGAACGTCAAGAACAGGCGACTGCCATTCAACTGTGAAACGAATGGTGCCATCTGAGCATATCCCTTCAAATGGCATGCAGCGCACAATCACCGGATCGCGTAATGGTAAATTACCAAATTGGCAGTTTAGTTACGAAGAGTAATTGACAGAGCCAGCTCATCGGTCAAAAACCTGGGGTCCAAACATTCTCTAGATTGCACACCGATTGCCATATCACAGCAGTGTCCCTGAAGGTTTCAACAACCAACTTGGAAGCTCATGCAGTCCCAAACAGTGTCTGTTTTGGACTCCTGTCATGCGCGTAATCAAGAAAGGCCCCCCCCTAACAAATTAAAAAGCAACCGACTCCTAATTTCAGGAGTCATGTCAAAGAAGCGATATTGGGAGCTTTCACCAAATATGCTTTTTCCGGTGGCGGTACTGTCGAGCCGACCCACGCGATGGGTCGCTTATTTGACTGCTGATCAGCTGGTAGTCGCAAAGACACCGGTGAGCCACTCAGGGAGGCGGTGCCCATCGGCTGGTGTTGCGATTTGGCAGCCACCTCCTTGGCACGGCAATGCCTTGGTGTGCGTTGCTCCACGGCCGCAAACGCCTCGCCATGAAACAGGCCCAAAGGGGGGCCATCTTCCAACAGATGAAGAGGCAAATGAGTAGATGCGATCCTGGCATTTACGACGATTGCACTTGAAGCGCCATCATCACCGCAGCTCGGTCAGTCTGGTCTCTGGTCAGTCTGGTCCCTGGTCAGTCTCCGGTCCAGCTCGCCCGCCAGGTGCAAGGGCTGTCTGTCGTCATCCTGTTGCGATCAATGGGTAGAGAAGGTTTGATGATACCGAATTTGTGAAGTTTGCGCGTTCTCATGGACAGCAACTCTATGGTTAGTTTGCGGCAATGCCTTAGGCTCTGATGAAGCAATTCATGGGCACTCCCTTGCTCGGCGAAATGGGTGGCTGATGGCTGCCTCCTCGCCTTGATATGTAGGAATCCTTGACGGCGACGTTGTCGTTCAGCGACAGGTGCAGTCAACCTCGCGCAAGCGGGGTGCAGCCACAGGCCCGTAAGGCCATCGCAAAGATCGTTACAAATAAATGCAATAGATCCGACCCCGTGAAAATGCTGCACACGGCGAACGTGCGGAGCGTCGATGGTCGCCAGCCAGAGCCACGCCTCCCGGCTGGCGTTACCCCCCCTAGTGTTACCTAGCGTTACGTACAAAACAAGCTCGCGACCCCGTGCTGTCGGGAGCGCCCTGAGTAAAAGATACAAACCGTGATTTTGGCGATGCGTCTATGCTGCCTACGCCGGGCCAAACCTGCCGATCAGGTCCCTGCTGGCCTGGCAAGGCCGTCGTCTTCACCTCAACGTCAGGTCAACGCCAAGCCGACGTTGCCGAACGGAGACTGGCACTGTCCCGTGGGACAGCCACAGCGAATTTTTGGCCCCACGCACATCTGGACTCGGAAGCAGCCTCCCTGCCTAATCGCCGCCGAGCAGCCTCAACATCCGCGCCACAAAGGAAATGCTCCGACAGCAGACTGGCCCCTCACCTAGACTATGCCACTGTTTGTCGACTCCTTGTTTGTCGATTCTGCCAGAGTTCAGCTTCATTTTTTTTTATCTGGGAACTTTTTTGGGCAACAACCGAGCGCGAGCACGCCGTGTGCCCCAGCGCCCTCTGTCCGCGTCTTCTCTGCGACGCCGACGACTTGGCGAGGACGCTGGCGGCGCTGCCGCGCAGTGCCACAACACAGGAACACCCACACCAATACGTCCACCACATCTCCAATGCGTCCACAGCAGCTAGCTGTGTCAATGCTACCCGCTACGTGGCATAATCCCGCATAAAAAAGCAACTTCCCTGCATACAAAAGCCTGCCGTCAACCTGCCAATCTCGGCACGCCAGGTCTATAAGGTCCGCTACATCTGCCAGTCCCGCTGGCCACCTGTCAGAAGACGGACGTGGGCGTGCCATGCTAAAGCCCGGCAACAAGCCCCGTCCGGGTTTATTTGTGCAGCCGCTACAACAGCTGCAACAACTATGGCAGCAGCTAGAATAGTTCTGCAACTGCCGCAGAAACAAATTAACAAATGACCATACTGTATACCGAACCTATTACCCTGATGAAGCCCCAATACTACACTATACTTTGGGGGTCTAGGGTATAGGCTGCCACTGTGGGCCTCAAAAAACAATGCTAACGTACACCCTTTCATCATCCCCAACGCAATGC